GCCCTCCCTCCTGCTCACGTGCCCCACTTCCCCCTGAGCTGATTGCTTCTGCGTGGTGTTTATCAGAAGCAGAGGTTTCTCTTGGTGCACACTACAGCGCAGATGCGCCCCCAACCCATGCGCAGGCGCCCTACTCTGGGGCACGCGCCCTCCACCCGGGGCACGAGTTCCCCCACCCCCATCGCATGCGCCTCCCCCCTAAGGCGCACGCGCCCCCCTCCTAAGGCGCACACGCGCCCCCCTCCTAGGGCACAGTCACTTCTGTACAAATCAAAGTTGACACTGGAATATTCTCTGTGTTGCAATAGTATGTTACTAATTAAAATCTGTCCTGATCACTTTAGTTTCTGGCTTTGTTTATCTTTGATACTACCACCAACTGCAACATGTATCCAAATCTTCTAGATGCTACTGTGTTGTTCAGATGGCAAGTCCCAAAGGAAATATTGTGGGGGAAAATGTCTGCATTTGCTGCGTTAGTGGGTTGAAATTTTAGCCTTGTTTTGTTTCTCACCCAATACAATTATTTCTTTTCATGTCACCTTGAAGTTGTTTTGCAGCAAGTAAAAACAAAAAAACAGCAACAAATATAGATGTGAAAAAGCATGTTGTCCACCAATACTTTTACAGACCAAATGCCAGCCTAGGATGACAGAACTGATCCTAAAGATGATGAATTGCTGAAGACACTAGAAGGTTAAGTTAACCCTCCAGAACTCACCTTGTGTCCTGGCTACTTAGGAATTCAGGAAAACAGCAGTGACAAGAAAGGTAGTACAGGAAGAATTTTGGAGGCGACAGGCTTCCTCATTTCACGTTTTCTAAAATAAGACTGCACACTGTCATTACAGATTTTCACTCTTGAAGCCTCGTCTCTGTGACTCCGCTTAAGGATGGTGGAAGGGTCCAGGGCTTCTGTTCAGGGACATGGGCTGATTGCTTCTGCCTGGTGTTTATCAGAAGCAGAGGTTTATGTTGGTGTACACCACAGCGCAGGCGCACCCCCACCCCTGGCGCACGAACTCCCACACCCCTGGCGCACGCGAACCCCCCAGCGGCGCACAAGCCCCCACGGCTCACGAGCCGCCCCCCGGCGCACGCTCCCCCACCCCGGAGCAGGCGACCGCCCCCGTGGCGCACGCACCCCTCACCCCCCGGCGCACTCTCCCCCATGGCGCACGAGCACCCATGGCCCACGAGACCCCCCCCCCGGCCAACGAGACCCCACCCGGCGCACACGCCCACCCCCACGGCTCACGCATCCCGCTCCCACCGCCCCGGCGCACGCGCCCGCCACCAAAGCGTACGTGCCCCGCGACCCTGGCGCACGCGCCCGCCCCCACGGCAAACGAGCCCCCTCATGGCACACGCGCCCACCTCCCCTGGCACACGGGCACCCTCCCGGGCACACTGGCACCCTCCTGGGCGCATGCGCCCCGAAGGCGCAGGAACCTCCCCTGGCGCACACGTCCGCACCAAAGGCGCAGGAGCTCCTTCAGGGCGCCCGCGCCCCCCTCCCCAGGCGCACGCGCCCAGCCCCCTGGAAGACGCACGTGACCCCACAGCGCACGAGCCACCTCATGGCGCACGCGCCCCCCTCCACCAGCGCACGCTCAGCCTCCCTGAGGCATGCACTCCTACCGCGCACGCCCCCACTCCCCCCCCCGGCACACGCGCACCCACACCCTGGCGCACGCGCCAGCCCCCGCGGCACACGCGCCTACCCCTACTGTGCACGCGCCCACCCCCGACACTCGCGCCCCCCCAGCGCACGTGCCGGCTTCCACAAAGCATAGGCACCTGTCCGCAGTGCACGCGCCCCAACGGGGCACGCCCCCCTTCCGGCGCACTCCCCCGCCCCCACGGAGCACGCGCCCGCCCCCAAGGCGAACGAGCCCCGCCCAAAGGCGCATGCGCCTCCTCCCACGGTGCACGAGGCCCCCCACCGCGCTCGCCACCCCCTCCCCAGGTGCACGCGCCCAGCCCCCCTGGCGCACCTGCCGACCCCCACTGCGCACAAGTCCCCTCACGGCGCACACGCAGCCCCCCGGCGCATGCGCACCCACCCCCCCGTGGCACGGGCCCCCCCTCGGGCGCACGCACATTCCCCTCTGGGTCACGCGCCTTACCTCCCCCCGGTGCACGCGCCCCCTGGCGCACCCCACAGTGCAGTGGAGCGGAGAGAAGGTTCCTTAACAGTTCTGCTGCGTTAGTATCTGCTTTCCTGGTGAAATAGGGAACAGGCAGGCCACCTCTTACTGCAAGGCCAGGGGAGCATTTCAGTTGCCAGCCCAGACAGAATGGCAGGGGCTTTGAATTTGTCCTTTTCAAGATGTAGGATATCCGGTGATTCCGGAGCAAGGAAAGGGAGGGGGTTTATGTTTGTTGTTTTCATGCAGATGGCCTTTTCTTCCTCTGGGGGATAGACAGGACTTATGAGACAGATTACCTTATTGGTAATTCCAGACAGGTTGATTAAGATTCCGTTTCTGGGAGAAATTGAAACAACAGTTGGATCATGTATTAAATCTAGTTTTGGGTTCATGAGCTTTTGGGCTTCCCTGATAGCTCGATTGGTAAAGAACGTGCCTGCCAATGCAGGAGACACAAGAGATGTGGGTTCGATACCTGGGTTGGGAAGACCCCCTGGAGTAGGAAATGGCACCCCACTCCAGTACTGTTGCCTGGGAAATCCCACGGACAGAGAACTCCGGCTGGCTACCGTGCATGGGGTAGCGAAGAGTCAGCCAGGACTGAGCACCTGAGCACAGCACATCTCCCTAGAACCGGAGACTGGGGAGAGTGGCATGCTATCTGTCTTACCCCCTTCTGGGTTCCCAGTGTGTACCAGGTGTGACAGTGAATCAGTGCTCAGTACATGTGTCTTTTACATTTGATTGACAAGGCACAGTTTAAACCACCGGTGAAGAAATATGTTGCCTGTCAAAGTGGCAAGTTCTTCAAAAGTTAGGACCACTGTTGCCAAGGACAAGATCACAGCAGCATTCTCTCACACTTCCAGAGAGAGTAGAGTTGTCTTTCTGGAAAGCAACTTGGCAATAGGTGTCCAAACCTAAAAGGGTTGGTTGGCTTGCCTTTGAGCCAGCAATTCCTCTTCTGGTCATTGATCCCCTAAACTAAAGGGCTTATCAATGGTGTTGAAAGGAGAGCAGAGCTTGCCACACAAAAATATGCCTGTTTGGCACATTGATCACTTGGGGCTGGTTATTTCTGAGACGTTACAGACAGAGGAGAAGCTCTGAAAACCAAGTAGAAGTTACTCTTTGATAAGATACCTTTACACTTCTAAGGGAAATCTCCATTTGCAAGGGTGTCTCCTGCTCTCAGAAAGGAGGGAGTGGGGGATGGATGACTTTATCTCCTGAAACTCTTGTTGTTGTTGTTGTTGTTTTTCCTGAAACTCTTTATCAGTGAAGAAAGTCTTAAGTTTGCATGGCAACTTTACCCTTGTTTACTATGTCTTTCCTGGTTCCCTCTCTTAACCGCCCCCCACCCCCAATACCTCCTTTTGTCTTTAGCTGGAAATGGTATTTAATGTGGTAGTTTCAGCCATTTGGGTGAGTTACTCAGGCTTCCTAGGTCTCTCCTGTGTATAAAGGAGGTATCTATGTTTTTAAACTTGCCTTTCTCCTGTGTATTTGTCTTTTATTATGGAGGGGGGAGTCTCAGTCAAGAATCTAGGAGGGCAGAGGGAACTTTCTTTTTCCTCTCTACAGTAGGCATAGAAATTGAATCTCTATGAAGTATACTGCCCATGTCTTTTGCAATAATTAAATACTAGAAAGTAATGCCATAGAAGAATAAATAACACCTGGGAAAGATCTTTGCAAGATTTTATTTCAACATAGAAACGAGATAGTATGTGGATAAATGTTACATTTACATTTCATTTATGTTCAAGTAGATGGGAAAAAAAATGTAAGCAAAATGCTATGAAGCTCTGAATGGTTATCTGACATACAGGGTATGCGCTGGTTTTGATTTTCTACTATTGGTCTATCTATATTTTCCAAATGTTCCCCCACTTTTATAATGAGGCAGTTAGAATTAAATAGAGCATCTTTGCCCCCTGGTGGTTTAGTCAGTAATGGTACTTAGTCTGAGGAGGGAATATTGTATCCACTCAGACAGAAGAGCAGATACCACTGCAGGCTTTATTCCCAAGGCAGAACTTTCAAAATTCCCAAACCTTTTGCTAGGACAAGTGGTTGTGTCCTAGAAGAGCAGTACTGTGAAACTCACAAGAGAGTTTCATATTGTCCTCGTATTGCCCATGTGGGGACTATATGCTCTCAGCTGCCATGGGACAGAAACAGCAGGAGCAGGGAGAGAGAAATAGGTTCTGGGATCAGCGGGGCACTGGAAGCAGGGCCTTTGCCATCAGAAGGCTAAAGAGGGCAGGCCGTTGGAGTCGGTGTGGCGGCCTTGGGTTGGAGGGGTGGGCAACCACGAAAGTGGGAGTCCAGGGCAGAATGAAATTGGTGACTGTGTGTGGGGGATCAATAAGAGGGTGGGCACCCCAAAGAGCACTCGGGGTGAGTGAGGGGTGGTAGTGTGCCCTGCAGGGGTACCCAAGGGAGCAGAATACGGGGAAGGTTAAGAGATCTGGGCTGGGCCTTTGACCCCTGGATCTAGCCAGACAGCCTCTTCTGGCCCATGACCTTCCTTGTCATGATGTCAGGGCACCCTCCCTGCATTTCTGAGGGGTTCAGCTTTTCCTAGGATCCCCAGAGGAAGAGGAAAAATTCCCAAAACAATGGTTTTCAAGCTTTCTGTGAGTCATGATTTCAGGGATCCCTTTCAACCCAACTCCTACTACACAGTTTCATGTGAAGGGCCTGGAGCACCCCATAGCATTGATATACTGTTCCATAAACTGCTTTTATTATGTGCTGTTTTTCCATGACTGAAAACATGAGCAGTTTTTATTTTGTTTTGCTGAATGTGATTCTGACTGACCCCTTTCTCTCCAACTTCAGGGCCCATGGATGTGTGTCTACTTTTGTTTTTCGGCTCATCGCTGCTCATATCTGCCTGTTGGAGAACTTTTGTGGTCACTACAGCTCACCTGATGGAAGGCTTTTGTCACCGAAGTAGGGGGGGGCATCTGTTTTGGCACCTACAGGAAGCCACCCTGATTGCAGGATTTCCAGGCTTCTCCTACATGTAAGTCATCAATAAACATGACATGGAAATTAAGAAGGAAAAAACACTCTTGAGTGAGAGATAGCAGAAACAAATGGCAAAACCAAATCTCCAAAGCCCTCAGATATTGGAAATGTCTGCTTTAGTTTGAATAAGAAATGTATTTTTCCACTCATTTTGTAGACCTAGAAAGAAAAATTGATCTCTTCGGTATATATTTTTTGACTTAGATTTAAAAAATTCTGATTTTTCTCTTTGCCAGCCCTGGGTGTTAATTATAGCACAGAGGATCTTTCACCTTTTTTGAGGCATGTGGGTCTTTGTTATGGCATGTGGGATCTAGTTTGCTCGCCAGGAATGGAACCTGAGCTTGGAGTCTTGGCCCCTGGAGCACCAGGGAAGTCCTTCTTCGGTATATTTAAAGAAACTAGAAGAACTGGAAACATGAACAAGGAATAAAGCGCTAACCAAAATGACCAGGTTTCTTCTTTCTTTCCTCTCGCTGAGCAATTCAGTCCAAAAGTTATTAGCAGAGTCCAAGCAATGAGGGTGTTTGTGGTGGAGGAGATTTTGTGATCCTATATTATGTGGTGTCAGCTGAGGGCAGGGTGAGAAGAGCATCCACGTGGGGGATGGTGTCAGGGGCCTGATGTGGACTGTTAAGGGTCCAGGTAAGGCCAGGAGATCAATTCCAGGGGCAAGGGGTGCTGAGTAGCAGCTGGCCCAGCTTTTTAGAACCTGAGAGCATGTTGAGGATATTCATACAAGGAGGTCTGGCATGATGCTTCAGGATCTGATGACAGTAAGTAGGACAGCTACATGGGATGGCAAGTAACTTGTAGGTTGATTTGTGTCCTACAAAAATTCAGATGTCAAAGTCTGCTATAGACGTAGGGATTGTGTCTCCCCAAAGTTCATATGTGCACTCCTAACCCCACAATATAGTGGTCTGTGGAAGCAGGGTCTTTGGGAGTTGGTTAGGTCATGAGGATGGAGCCTTCATCAATGAGATGAGTGCCCTTATTTCTAAGAGAGACCCCAGAGAGCTCTCTTCCCCCTACGGCCATGTGAGAAAGAAGGCCACCTATGAACTAGAATGTAAGTCCTCATAAGACATAGAATCTGCCCCTGCCTTGATCCTGGACTTCCCAGCTTCCAAAACGGATAAATCAACTTCTGCTATTTATAAGCTACCCAGTCTATGGAATCCTGGTATAGCAGCTGGACTGGACGGAACCGATAAAAGTCTAATTCCTGGTACCTCAGAATGTGAACATAGTTGGAGATAAAGCCTTCACAGAGGGAATCAAGTTAGGATGAGATGATGAAGAGTGGGCCGTAATCCAGTATGGCTAGTGTCTTAATGAAAACGGTAAATTTAGACATATAGAGATACATACAGAGGGAGAAGATGGCCACGGAGAGAGCTGTGGAACACATTCTCCCTCCCAACTTGTCGAAGGAAGCAGCGTTGCCAATACCTTGATTTGGGTCTTTGAGTCTCCAGAACTGTGCGATAGCAAATTTCTGTTATTGAAATCACCCAGTTTATGGTACTTGGTTAAGGTAGCCCTAGTGAACAAGTGCAGTAACCCAGCTCAGGCGTTTGGAGCCTGAGCTCCATAAGAGAGAGTCAACACAGTTGAGGGTGAGGGATGAGCAGGGTAGTGGTGAGGATGATCTGGTGTGGGTGTTAGAGCCTAAACTGGGTCAGAAGGATATCTAGGCAGGACCCAGCCCAGGCCAAGTTGAGCTGATAAGAAACCAAGCAAGGTAGTAATCATTTCATAATGTATATGTATTTCAAATCATCTCATTGCACAGCTTAAAATATGCAGTTCTTATATGTCAATGAGATCTCAAAAACTGCTTAAATATCACAGGAATGAGGATGGTGCAATATGCTATAGAACTAGACGAAAGGGAAACCTATCTGTACCTGAAAACTCTTTCCTGGGATTGGCAAAACATATCCTGTTTCCTGCCTCATTTTCCTAGAGTCAAAGGAGACATGGGCCTTTATGTGCTCTACAGATACACCTGTCACTAACTCTGTAATATGTTTGGAAAAAGATAGTAAGCAAGCATAGTGAAGAAGGCTTTCAGTAGGAAATGGTGGCAGGTTGAATCTTGGCAAAAAATGTGAGAGTCTAAAAGAGATGATGCCAGTCTGAGTGGGAGCAGCTTTGGCCAGAGTGTCTGAGCTTGGGTGACGTGAGATGGGCATCCACAGGGAAGGGTGAAATCAGCCTGGACTGTCAGAGCCTACGTGGGGTGAGCTGAGGGTGGCAGAGGCAGGACTTAAAATCTTTTTAAAATTTGTTGGAACCTCACACTGAGAACTTTAAAACAGTACTGAAATGGAGGAAATGTATTCATGTGTTTTCTATTTGTATAATCTTCTTTAATACATATTTTTATTTATTTATTTGATTGTGCCAGGCCTTAGTTGTAGTTTGCGGCATTTTCCATCTTTTTGCAGCATGTGGGATGTTCAGTTGTGGCATGTAGGAACTAATTCCCTGACTGGGTATTGAACCTGAGCCCCTGGCATTGGGAGCGTGGAGTCTTAACCACTGGACCATCAGGGAAGTCCCATTATATAGTTTTGATGCTTTGACATCTGGGGCCTTGCTGACACTGGAGGGACTGCCACTCTCAGGGTTGTTCAATTCCTAGAGTGAGTCAAGAATTCACCTGTGAGCATATCTTTCAAAAGCAAGTCAACCAATTGAAAGGCCATACCCCCAGTCACTACTTATCTCCTCTACTGGGCTATCAGATTTCAGGCCACTGTCCACCTGCCCTAATCACACCAGGGCCAGGGACTAGACAACTAGGGACAGCCCCTATGACCCAGAGCCCACTAAAATTATTCAGACTAGCGATGTTCAGTCTGCTTACCTGCCTCACCAGTAGAAGCCACAATAAAGGTTCTTGCTCCCCATTTACCTGCTCCCTTTGCCTCCTGACCAACCAGACCATGTGGTTCCTCATGAGGTGCTCCCTCCACTTGGGAACTGCTACAAACTATCTTTTCAATGGCAGTCATCTCCTAATCTCTTGGCCTTACCATACCTGAATAATAGTAAACCTATGTTAAGAAAACAAGACCTAAATTAAATGGATACATATGCCAGAATCATGAACTGGAAGGCTCCATATTGTGAAGCTAGCTGTTCTCCCAAAATAAATACATAGAGGCAACACAATCCCAATGAAACCCTCAGCAGTTTATGCATATGTGTGCATGAAAATTAATGTTATTTCTGAAATTTATATGGAAATGCAAAGGCCAGGAATAACCAGGACAATCATGTCCTGGGTGGCTTATACCAGGAGATACCAAGGCCTATTATAAAGCTACAATAGTTAACTAAGTAGCCTATTTGTATGAGGATAGACAATTTAACCATGAGAACTGGACAGAGATTCCAGGAACAAACCCACATAGATAATCTGATTTGTGCTATTACAGGACACTAAAGAAAGGAGGAACCTGGTGGGCTGCCTTCTATGGGGTTGCACAGAGTCTGACACAACTCATGCGACTTAGCAGCAGCAGCAAACGACGGATATAGTTTCCAGTCAGTGGTACTGGGTAAATTTGGCAGTCCCCAACCTTTTCAGCACCAGAGATTGGCTTCGTTGAAAACAATTTTTCCATGGATGGGGGGTGGGTGCGGAAATGGTTTGGGGATGATTCAAGCGCATCTCATTTATTGTGCAGTTTATTGCTAATCTAATGCTGACGTTGATCTCATGGGAGGTAGGAGGTACTGGTCTGGGGCACAGTGGGTGGGGACCCTTCATTAGATAACCAAATAGAACAAAAGTGCATGTTGTTCCCTGTCTTACCTTACACAAAATTTAATTACAAGATGAACTGCTGATTTAAATGTGCAACTTGGAACAGTAGAATTTTCAGGAGAACATCTTCATAATAATGGTCATGGAAAAACTATGCAAAGGTAAAGAACAGATTATATGGAAAGACGAAAGAAAAATAGTAAAAATGCAAAAGGCTTCACCTTACTGGCAATCAAAGAAATGAAAGTGAAATGAATTATTAGGTACCCTTCTTGTTTGTCAGATACAATGGTTATAGAGTAATAGTTTACTTTTAGTGAGGGTGTAATGATATCAGCTGCCTTATACTTTATTAACAGAAGTGGAAATTTATATAATTGTTCCAAAAATCAATCTGAGAAAAGTGATCAAGAGTCTGGAGAATGTTCATGGCTTTGATACAATTCCAGTTCTAGAATTCTCACCTACAGCATGAGCAGAAAAGCAGATAAACATATATAAGGAACTGTTTATAATAGCATCCCTTAAAATAGCAAGGGCTTCCGCAGGGACTCAGAGGTTAAAGCATCTGCCTCCAATGTGGGAGACCCAGGTTCGATCCCAGGGTCAGGAAGATCCCCTGGAGAAGGAAATGGCAACCCACTCCAGTATTCTTGCCCGGAGAATCCCATGGACGGAGCAGCCTGGGAGGCTGCAACCACCGGGTGGCAAAGAGTCAGATACGGCTGAGCGACTTCACTTCACTTCAAAATAGCAAAAGAAATAGAAACAAATTAATATTGTCTAAATTGGGAATACTGTTCATGGGGTTCTCAAGGCAAGAATACTGAAGTGGTTTGCCATTCCCTTCTCCAGTGGACCACATTCTGTGAGACCTCTCCACCACGACCCGTCCGTCTTGGGTGGGCCCACACAGCATGGCTTAGCTTCCTTGAGTGAGACAATGCTGTGATCCTGTGATCAGATTGGCTAGTTTTCTGTGATTTTGGTTTCAGTGTCTGTCCTTTGATGCCATCTTGCAACACCTACCATCTTACTTGGGTTTCTCTTACCTTGGATGAGGGGTATCTCCTCACGGCCTCTTGAGAAACCTATCTGCAGGTCAGGAAGCAACAGTTAGAACTGGACATGCAACAACAGACTGGTTCCAAATAGGAAAAGCAGTATGTCAAGGCTGTATATTGTCACCCTGCTTATTTAACTTATATGCAGAAT